CTGGGTGTGCACAGCCTCCTAAAGGGTGTGTGTGCTTCACTGGGTGTGCACAGCCTTCTCTAGGGCATGCCTGCTGCAGTGCATATGCACAGCCTTCTCCAGGGTGCTCAGCCTTCTTCCCTGGCATGGAGCCAAGTCACCCAGCATCACCCTAGTGCCAAATGGGTGGGTTTGACTAAAATATGGACACTCTGCAACAAGAAAGTGAGTTTGGGAGCAATTGGGACACTGGGGCTCTAAAAGGTTCACCGCCACTGGCTCAGACATGCCTTTAGAGACTTGCCTGGGCCTGCTGCAGACTCCAATGTAATGGAGGGCTCAGCACCCAAATCCCTGAAGCTCACTGTAAGGTGTCCTCATGGCCCAGGTAATTAAGAGAAAAATCCTACCTTCCTGTGAGTTGGGCAGGGGATTAACCTGGGTTCATGCACAGAGTAACCAGGAGAGAAAACTGAGCAGCCTACTTGCAAAGCCAGATCCTTTCTACCTCTCTACCTTGTAAAAGAGGCTCCACACAGCTCTGACTTCAGTGCCACTTCGGAGGATTAACCACCACAAGCATGCTGACACCGGAGTGACTGCTACGGGCTTGAAGGTAGCTGTTGCCACAGACTGAGAAAAGCTGTGCATTTCAGGAAGATGTGAAGTGACCAGGAGACCAGGGCTGGCTCCTGTCCCAGCACAAACGCTGGGTGCCTGCCCTTTGGTTCCTTGGTTAGGAGAGAGGGAGGGACCAGGGCTGCCTGGATGTTTACCTCCAAAACTAGATGCCATTTGGGGAAATAATGATATGAAAAGTACTTGGAAGGTTTAATATTCTGCTTTGGATCAGCCATTTAAACTCCAAATCTGAAGGCTTTAAGCAACAGACTTTCAAGAATCCACTTAGGCCAAGTGGCCTAGCACACAGTTCCACAGGAAGTAGGGCAGATGGACCAAGCTAAACCACTGCAGCCGGTGACCTTGAACTTCATTTCTAGGAGTCCTTGTGGAACAAATTCTGCAATATTTAGCACATTCTATTGACTAAGGTTTTGCTGTATTTCAAAGTAGATTTTATCAGTTTCCATCTTGGGAAATAAACCAAGAGTTAGATTACTAAAATGTAAACCCGCCTCTAAAAATAATCATTTGATCAGGAGACTGAGGCAGGAGACTTGTGAGTTTGGCCAACCTGGGCTACAAAATTGGTTGGGAGGGGGCTGGTGAGATGGCTCGGTGGTCTAGAGCACCTAGTTAGAATAAGCTTAGCAAAGCACAGGGACCACGGTTCAATCCCCCAGCACCACATGCCAGCCAGCCCTGCCCCCTGGTGGGCTGAGCTGGCCACACACACACACACACACACACACACACACACACAAATAAATAAAATTAAAAAAAAAATTGGTTGGGAGCTGGCCTGGACTACACAGTGAACCCTCGTCTCTGAGCAAAACAAAGCACAAGTAAAGGGGACACTCAGGCCGAGGGCATCAGGCACAACCTGGAGCCTTGGTGCTCCTTCAAGGCTCTGAGAGCCGAGCATCACGAAGAGGCAACGGGGCAGCTCGAGACTGCCGGGCGGGCGACCGACTCACTTCTCTCCTTAATGCTGTAGCTGCGCCTAACCCATCACATAACTTCTACAATCCCAGTTACTTGTGGTCAAGCAGGACCCAAAAGTATTAAGTAGAAAATTTCAGAAGTAAACTGTAAGTTTTGAAAAACTTTTATTATAGCACATCATTATAATAATTTCATCTTATTATTAGTTATTGTTAATCTTTTGCTGTGTCTTTTTTCCCCCTTTTGGTCTTGAGACAAGGTTTCGCTATGCAGCTCAGGCTGGCCTTGAGCTCACTTTGTAGTCCAGCCAGGCCTCAAACTCAGCGACCCTCCTGCCTGTGCAGGATTCAGAGTTATCTGGAATTACAGGCATTCACCGGGTCCTAGAAGATCACCCCCACCAACAGGGGGCCTACTGCATATTCTAGCCAAGCTAAAACACATTGACAAATAAGCTGATCTAAGTCCTAATCAAGAAGCGTGGACCTCCACGGTCGGCTTTCTGCAGGAGCTCGGGCTGGCTCTGCCATCTAAGCCTGCAGCATCAAATTCACTGAGGTCAGGCGACCAAGTATCCAAGGACTGAATTATTAAAATTTACATTCCTTATAATAAAATTCCACAAAGCCATCTGAGTCATACCTGCTGGCTTGATCGGACGTCACTGAAGCTCGTTTTCTTCCCCAAGTCTAGAATTACTGCATTCTTAGTTTCACGAATGTAATCGTCACTCAGTGGCTGCGATGACTTCGTGTTTCTCTTCATTAACCCCTGGGATGGCCTGTGAGATAAATTCACACCAACACATTCATACGGCATCGAGCATGGTATAAAGAATCTGTGCTAGGGGCCTTTTAAATATTTTAATTATTAAAAATTACTCATATGCATAGTAATCATAGGCTTTGGTCTGAAGTATTTAATAACCATTTTGTGTCCAAAAGGCTTGGTTATCTACCCTCCTAGAGTCCCCTCATGGACCAAGTGATCCTATGCATGTCCCCCCTTCCACAGGCCTCTGTTTGCATCCAGTGTCCCACTCTGTAGTTGAGGCTGGCCTTGAACTCACTATGGAGTCCAGCCTGGCCTCCAGCTCACGGAGGCTCTCCTGCCTCAGCCTCCCAGTGCCGGGGATCAAAGGCGCAATACTACACCAGATTCTCAGTGACACCTACACAGCTGGTGCGCTCCGAGGCAGCCCCATGGCGTTGGTGGGGGGCACAGCAGGAAGGGAGGGCAGGACGGAGCTGAGGAAGGCAGCGGGGTTCTGGATCCGGCTGGTGGGGGACACGGGTGCAGGAGGCACGTGGTGTGGCTGAAACTGGCTTCCTCCGGGTGTGGAGAAAGAGGGCGAGGGCTCGGCCGGGTGGGGTGCGGGTGGCAGGAGGCTCTCGCGGCTCAGAGTCCTTGGCAGCGTGTGGGGGGCACCACTCGCCAGGGAGCTGCTGGGGGGCGTGGAGGGCAAGAAGTGCTTCGGCCTGGACAGGCTGGGCGCCGGTGAGGGGGACGGGGTCGCGGACGGGGAGGGGGCTGGCGCTGCGGCCCTAAGTGCCCCGCTGGAGCCAGCGTGGAAGGGAGACGCCCTTGGCGGGGCAGGCACCGGGCCCTGAAGCTGCTGCTGCTCCAGCAGGACCTGGTTGTGCAGCTGCTGGAGCTGGGAGGAGTCACTGTGAGGAGGACGAAGAGGGTGGGAGGGGAGAGTGCAGTGGGGGAGAGGAGGGGAGGATTAAGGTGGA